AGCCCGCAGCCCTCTCGGGGCCGTGCTGTGCTGCAGGGGAGCAGCAGCCTGGGGAGAGTCTCCTTCTGCAGAGGAGCTGGGCTGCCCTCCGCACCCAGGGGGTGCCCGGAGCTGCACGGGGGGCAGGGCCACGACTGCCCGGTGTGTGCACCCAGGTGCCGAGCCGAGGGACCACGGGAAATCCCTCCCACCCAGCAGCTTTGGCAGGTCACTTCCAGGCTCCATTTGGGCTTTAGAAGCTGCTGCCATCCTTTGGGACACATGGCTTTCCCTGAGAGGGAGCCAGGAGCTGTGGGAACTCCTTGCATGCCCTGGGCAGATGTGCAGACGAGCTGGGCAGGGTCTTTGCACAGGCCTGGGGACACAGGCTGGATTTCGTGCTGTAGTTTCCCACCCCGGGGTGTTAGTGAGGGGCTGTGCTGCTCAAGGGCACAGAGCACAATATCCTGCAGCTTCCATGAGTTCCCAAGGCCCCTGTCTCTGGCAGCTTTATCCCCGGGTCCTGCTCTGCATTCCCTATAGAGCCGCTCAGACCTGCACCAGTGGGGTCCCCCCCACGGCACCCTCATACCCACAGCCGCCCCTCAGTGGGTGACAGCTGAGCCCTGGTGCTGGTGGCACTGCTCTGTGGGGTTCCCCTTCGGGATGCTCACCCCATTGGTGCCTCTCACTCTCTGTGATCTCTCCTTCCGTACCCTCAGGCCTTGTTCTGATTTTAATGAAGAGGCAGCTGGGAATTCAGGTCAAAGCTTGAAGAAGACCTCGCACAGCTGCGTTCCACGGAGGGAGACCTGCGATGTCCCGAAGGGAATCATCTCCCGTGTGTTTCACAGCCTGAATCTGGGGGTTGCCCTCCCATCTCTGCACTGGCCCAAGCCCTCCCCCTGTCCCTTTTTCACACCGGCCACCCACGGGCTCTCCTGAACCTCAGCGAAGCCTTCAGCCCCGCCAAGGTTTGTGAGCGGCCACGATCTGCTCTGGGGGCTCACCGAGCTGTCCCTCCGCGGGGACAAGACCTTTCTCTCTAGGAAGCGTCGCTCTTCGCCACGCTCCGGCAGGATGGGCTGCACAGAGCATCACCACCCCCCGGTGCCTGCGGCAGGCACTGCACCGCCCGGCGGCCCCGGGAGCGCCGGCGAGCGGGACCGCTCCGGGAGCTCCTTATTCTGGGCCTGGGAGAGCCCTGCGGGGAGAGATGCCACACAAATACCTGTCCCCAGCAGAAAGGGGCCCAGGAGCAGGACTTGCCTGTGGCTTTCTGGTTGGTTGGTTTGTTTGTTTGGATGGTTTTTTACGAAATAAATTTGCCTTTTGCTGTGTGTGAAGTGCCAGCAAGCTAAGGCACCCCAGGGAATCCCTGCAGTTACTGGAATCCTGCAAAACCTCCCAACAGCTTGTGCTGGGTCGCACAGGGCAGGGCTGTGGGTGCCCTGCCTTGGTTTGCCGTGGAGCCCGTGCAGTGGCATTGAGGAATTCCTGAGCCGGCACTTTCCTCCTGGCTGTGTCCCAGGCCTGGGGATGCCCCTGCAGCGCCTGCAGTCCCTGCTGGGAACCCATTCCCCTCCACGGGGCTGCCCCCTCATTTTCAGGCTTCCAGCAAGTTCACGAGCCAGTGCCATGGTTGGCTTTCCCCACTCTCTCTCCTGGTTTTCCCAGGCTCCTCCTCAAGCCACTATCCCTCTGGAAGTAGTGTGGTGTCTCTGGGAACCTCCCTCTCCGTCACCTCCAGCACAGGACATCTCCAGGGTTGGCATTGAGCTTTTGGTTTATTTCTGTTTATTTTCTGTTTATTTATTTTCTCTCTTCAAACATTTACAAGATATTAGGCTGGTTTTAAGCCACAGAGAGCCTCACATTAGTTCAGCTCCTCCATTTACTCCAGCGGGGCACAGCTCTGCAGCACCTTCTGGCTCCCAGCTTGAGGAATCCCACATGGGACAGCTCCAAACAGCAGCCTGAGCTTCAACGCAGCAAGAGCAACTTTTCCACCTGAGGATCCTCCATCGTCTATAAATCCTCCAAGGATCAACACATGATTTCTGGATGTGGCCCTTGGAGCTCAGTTTGGAGGATTTCTTGGCAAGAAATGAAATGTTTGAACTTCAGATTCCAGATGAGGGGTTGCTGCTCCTGGCTGGTGAGACCTCTGCTCATCTGGGGCTGCCACAGATCTGCCGTGTGGGGATGAGGGTATCCAGGAGGTGCCACGGTGGATGCTGAGAGAGCCCAGAGACATCCCCGGCTCGGAGGCACCTGAGACCCGGGCTGACCCTCTGTTCTGAGCGGCTGGACGGGGTCTGCAGCCCGGGCAGCAGTGTGGGATGTCCCCCCCGAGCTTCTGTGAGGTGACCTTCATGTGGGAGCCCCTCGGGAGAGGAAAGGCGGTCAGACACAGGGGCTGCAGCCTCTCAGGGTCCCCAGAGCCGGGCTGCGCCCCCAGAGCAGGGCTGGGCATGGAAATCTGGGGCTAAAAGAGAAACCCAGCCGGGGCCGAGCTCTGCGAGGAAGGGCAAAGGGCTGCTGGGGAGAGGCACGGTGCCATCCCCGGTGCGGGCACGGGCACGGGCAGGCGGGGCTGGGTTACCGCGGGACACCTGGGTGGAGGATGCCTCTTTATCTGTTCCTGTTTAGTCAAACAGATGAGTTTTTCTGCGGGGAAACAGCTCAAGAAGGGAAAACTGGGCAGCAGCGAAGCCCGGTGAAGGGACAGGGGCTGCTGGTGGCTCTCCTCCAGGTGACCCTGGGTGGCAGAAAAGCCCTGAGGGGTCTGTGCAGGAGTTTGCAGCTTTCAAACCCGAGAGCTGTGTGCTGTGATGCTGATTTGTCACAATACCTGCTCCGCCCCACCCCCCCCCCCCCATAGTCCTTGGAGAGGAAACTGAGGCACAGAAGTGTATGGGACCCCCCTCTCGATGCTAGAACTGCTCAGAGGAGGGTCAGCTTCTCCCCACCAAAAATCCAAGGCCTCCATCTTCCTTTCCCTCCAGCACCTGGAAGGTTGCTGAGCCTCCCTGCTGGGATGCCACACTCTGGGAGCTGCCAGCCCAGCGGGCTCGGGGACAGAGGGATCAGGCACAGAGGGAAGGCAGAGCAGCAGGGGCTGGCAGCTTCATCCCAGGGGCACGGCTGCCAGGGGCAGGCAGGATCTCATCGCCCTCTGGAGCTCTCCTGCTTGTTCCATGGTGCCAAAGACTGGCCTGGGCAGCCCCTGCTCCTCCAGACGGGGGAGAAATAGTTTCTCTTGGCAGAAGGATAGCCAGAAGGAAGTGGCTTTTGCCTTTGCAGTGTGTGGGAAATGTAATTCCCTCCCAGCAGGGTTCAGCTGCAACTGGAGGTGTTTGTCCCCAGCCTCAGCAGGATGCTGTCCCATCATCCCTGAGGCTCAGGGGAGGGACAGGTTCTGCACAGGACTTCACGTGGGAAGGTGTTGAGGCTCTGCACAAGCCACTTTGGGGGCTTTGGGGATGGGAACAGTGGCAGTGGCTGAGGATGTCACAGCAGTGTCACACGGCAGGGACATGGATGGGGCAGGGTGGAGAGTGCTGAATGTTTGCATCTTTTCTTCTGCAGCTCTCCTGGTGCCAGGGACTGGCACAGGTGCCAACAACCTTCTCCTTACCCTGGCACAGCCACGTCCTCACTCCATCCAGCCTCGTGGATGTCACCATCCAGCAGTGCCCTGGAAACCTCCCACCCCCCCCCCCCAGAAAAGGTCCTGTGGGGGGCACAGGGCCAAACCGTGCTGCAGGGATGAGGACCCCAGCAGAGCCCTGGCACTGGGGTCTCAGGGCAGGATAGGGCAGACAGAGTCTGGCAGGGGCTGTGGGACCCTGGGTGCCCCTGGGGGCAGGCAGAGCCTGGCAGGGGGCCTGGGAGCTGCCAGAGGCTGCAGAGTTGCTGCCCCTGCCCGGTGCTCTGTGCATGGTGCTCGGTGCCCTCTGCCCTGCGCCTGCTGCTCGGGGTTTGCTGGTGCCCACAGACGTGTGGAGTGCAGTGCCCCCCTCCCAGTCCCTGCCCGCTGCCCAGAAGCAGTGTGGTGCCAGTGCTGGTGCCATTGCCCAGAGCTCAGTGTCAGCAGTGCTGCTGCTGGTGCCTGTGGGTGGCACTGGTGGCTGTACTGGTGTCAGTGCTCCGTTCCCGTGGTGGTGACAGTGCATGGTGGCACTGCCTGCTGCGTGGTGCTTCGTGCACTGTGTGGTGCTGGTGCCCACGCTGGTGCTGGTGCCCAGCTCCTGGTGCCAGGGGGTGCTGCTGGTTTGGTGCCTCAGTACTGGTGGCCTTGCCTGGTGCCCACTGCCTCTGGCCAGTGCCAAGTGTCCCTGTCCAGTTCTGGTCCCAGTGCCTTCTGACCAGTGTCCGTGCCTGCTGCCAAGCCCCTGGTGCCCAGTGCCCACTGTCCAGTGCCCAGTTCCCTCTGGCACCTGCCTGTGCTGGCTGCTGGGTTGGGGCTGGGGCTGGGCGGTGGGCGGGTGCTGCCTGGGGGTGTTCCTGCCCCGCTCTCTCGGGGCCGGGTCCGTCCGTCTGTCCGGGAGCGGCTCGGGGCCGGTCTGTCTGTCTGTCCGGGAGCTGCTCGGGGCCGGTCCGTCTGTCTGTCCGGGAGCGGCTCGGGGCCGGTCCGTCTGTCTGTCCCGCAGCTGCTCGGGGCCGGTCCGTCTGTCTGTCGCTCTCTCGGGGCCGGTCCGTCTGTCTGTCCGGGAGCCGCTCGGGGCCGGTCCGTCTGTCTGTCCAGGAGCGGCTCGGGGCCGGTCTGTCTGTCTGTCGCTCTCTCGGGGCCGGTCCGTCTGTCTGTCCGGGAGCCGCTCGGGGCCGGTCCGTCTGTCTGTCCAGGAGCGGCTCGGGGCCGGTCTGTCTGTCTGTCGCTCTCTCGGGGCCGGTCTGTCTGTCTGTCGCTCTCTCGGGGCCGGTCCGTCTGTCTGTCGCTCTCTCAGGGCCGGTCCGTCTGTCTGTCCGGGAGCCTCTCGGGGCCGGTCCGTCTGTCTGTCTGTCGCTCTCTCGGGGCCGGTCCGTCTGTCTGTCTGTCGCTCTCTCGGGGCGGTGCCGCTCGGGGCGGTCCGTGCAGGAGGAAGCGCGGCCGGGGCAGAGCGGCCCCGCGGCGGCCGGAGCCGCACGCTCGGTGAGTGTCGGGGATCGCTGCCCCAGCGTGCCCCTGTCCCGCCCGCTGCCCCCAGCGCCTTCCCCTGCCTGCCCCCCTTCTCCCTCTGCGCCCCCTGGCCGATTCCCCATCTCCCACCGCCTCCCCGTCCCCAGCCCTTATTCCAGCTTCCCTTCTCCTGTCCCATCTTCCCTCTGCCTCTCCACTCCCCTGCACCCCCTTTCCTCCCGTTCCTTTCCCCACGTTTTCCGTCCTGCTCTGTGTCCCCCTAGAAATCCTGCCCCACCTCGCTGCCCTACCTGCACTCTTTGCCCCACTCGGCATCCCCCCTGCCCCCCAGTGCCCTGCTCACCCCCTGCACCCCCCCTTCTGCTTCCCCTCCTGGCTCTGGTGGGTCCGTGGGTGCCTTGTGGGGGTCCCTTGGGGCTGGCAGGGAGTGGGGAGCACAGCTCTGCACCCCGAACCCGAACCAGTGGGGTCTGCCGGGGGTCCCCTGCCCTGCTGTGGGAACACCCCCACACCCGGGGTGACAGGGGCTCTGTCCCGCAGGGGTGGGCAGTGCCAGGCAGGCCACCTGTCTGACGAGGGGCAGGGAGATGGATCGTGGAGTCACCGTGGAGAACCCCTACGCCAGCGTCAACATCCCACGGGAGCAGTTCCAGCAAAGCTTCATCACTCGCTACCTGAGAGACGAGCCCACCGTCATCGCCAACCCCGCAGCCGTGCCCTCCTACGGCACAGAGGGGCACACAGAGCCTGCTCATGGCTGGAACAGCACAACCATCTCCACAGACAAGTCCTGGTCCCGTCCCCACAACCCCTACGCCAGCCTGAGGATGCCCAACGGGGACTCATCTGCCTCCTTCTACACGGTGACCCTGGACAAGCCCGCCAAGGGCCGGGAGCAGGGGGCTAGCAGGCGATGTGGCTGCTGCAGCTGCTGCTCCTGCTGCCCAAAGTGCTGCTGTGTCATCTCCTAAGGGCCCTCCCTGCGTGCACGGGATGTGTGACCATGGGATGGGGCCAAGTGACCCCACAGGGACATGGCTGCTGGCCTGGGCACCTCTGGCAGAGTTGGCACTGGCTGGGCTGACGTTGCTTTTTCCCTGTGAACTCTGCAGCCGGATGTGCTGGTGATGGGCACCTGCCAGGCGGGCCATGGGGCCCAGGAGCCTGAGGACGATGTGTGCCAGGACAGGTGTCCCCAAGAAGTGACTGTACTGGAGGTGGGACAGCGATCCTGCACAGAGCCCCTGCCAGAGTCCCCGTGCTGGGAAACCTCCACCCTGGGAAGGGGCGGGCAGTGCCCACCTGCTCGTGGCTAGGCTGGGGTGCTGGCAGCCCTGTGTGTGTGGCAGAGAAGGACATCACCATCACTGTCTTGGAGCAGTGCAGAAGAGCCGGGGACAAGCCTCCGGCTGGCACAGGGATCCACCTCCCCAGGAGAGAGTCATCCCCCTCCCACAGCATCACGAGTACCAAACTCCATCTGGATCCTGCTCCTCCTCACCACACGGCCATGGGGTAGAGGGATGGAATCAGGAAAGACAGCCAAGGCATGGCAGAGTGCTGGGCCGTGCTCCAGGGCAGCACCTGATGGCACAGCATGGTTGTGGGCATTGACATCCGGAGCCAGGAAACCTCCAGCCCCATTCTGTTCCTCCTGCCAGGCTTCGGGGGCGCTGGGCACAGCCTCTTGTCCCACCTGCACCCAGAGGCAGCTCCAGTGCAGAGGGCTGGCCCAGCTCCAGCAGTGGGGCAGCACCTGGGCACCGTGTGGGGACGCAGAGGCCCAGCACTGGCCTTTTGCAGCTCCCTGGGCTCGGAGGAAGGCGGGAGGAGCCGGTGGCTCTTCGCTGGCTCTTTGCCGTGCGCTGGGGCTCCTGCAGGCTGCGCTTTTGGCCGGGGCTGCTGCCATCGACCTGGAACAAGCCTCTGTTGTGCTGCTGTGCCGCCCTGGTGCTGACGTCCCCCGGCGGTGCTGGCAGCCCTGCCTGGCGCTGGTGTCCCGGGACAGCTGCTCTGCCAGGCGGCAGCTGCTCCTGCGCTGCGGGAGCGGGGCTGGGAGGAGTGCCTGTGTTTGCAGATGACTTCAGGCTGCTGCAAATAAAACTACAGTCCTCTCCTGCCCTGCCAAGGTGTGCCTCTTCCCTCCACCCAGGCTTTTCTGGGATTCCCGTGTCATTTCTTGCTTTCCCTGGTGGGTGTGTAAGGGCAGTGCTAAAGCCTCCAAACCAGGCTTAACTCTTGCCCTGCTGACTTGTGACAGCAGAAGCTCATGCTGAGCTCTTTGGCTGCTGCCCGGGTCCAGCAGTGCCAGCCTGGCTCCAGAAGTGCCAGCCCGGGTCCAGAAGTGCCAGCCCGGGTCCAGCAGTGCCAGCCCGGGTCCAGCAGTGCCAGCCCGGCTCCAGCAGTGCCAGGTGGGTCCAGCAGTGCCAGCCCAGCTCCAGCAGTGCCAGCCTGGCTCCAGCAGTGGCCAGGCATTCCCAGTACAGGCTGCTCCTGTCTGTCTGGGGACACTGTCTGGTGCTTGGCCCAGCCCTGCCAAGCTGGATGACTGTCCTGTCTGGAAAAAATGTGTGAGTCTTTGGGAGAGGCTGAGGAAGGGCCCGGCAAAGGGAAGTTCCTGGCTGGGCAGCTGGGTGGGCTCCGGGACACTGCCTGGGCTGACTGTGACCCCCTGAGAGTCCCTCAGCAACAGAGCTCACCATGGCTTGGAATTCGCCAGAGCTTGGAGCCCACCTGCACCGAGGCCCTGCGGGTACTGGGTGCCCAGCATTGCTTGGGTGCCACCAGACAGATCCCACGGGAAACCCACAATTCTGGGAGCCCACCCAGCTGGAAGCTCCCAGCTCCCACCATTGCTGGGAGCCCACCCTAGGAGCCCACCACGGCCCAGGAGCGCTTCACTCTTGAAATGCCACTCCGAGCCCCGTGCCCTGGGCTGTTCTGGGCTGGGTGGCAGTGTCCTGGCAGAGCTGTGCCCTGGCACAGGTCCCGGCGGTGGGTGGCCGGGCTGTGCGGCTGGCAGGGACCCGGCCCCGCGGTGTCCACCCTGCACAAGGAGCTCTCTTGTTCTCCGTGCCCAGACCGCAGCAGGGCCGGGCAGATCCAGCCCTTGTTTGCTCCCGCGCCGCCAGCCGTGCCCGAGCGTGCGGCGGGCAGGGGCACGGCACGGCCGGGGACGGAAAAGGGTCCCCGGGGTGTGCGGGGGGCTCGGTGGGGCAGGGCGGGGCGGGGCAGGGCAGGACAGGGATGGGCAGGGCAGGGCAGGGCAGGGCGGGGCGGGGCGGGGCAGGGTGGGGCAGGGTGGGACAGGGCAGGGTGAGGCAGGGCAGGGCAGGGCGGGGCAGGGCAGGGTGGGGCAGGGCAGGGCAGGGCGGGGCAGGGCAGGGTGGGGCAGGGCGGGGCAGGGCAGGGCTGGGATGGGGCAGGGCAGGGATGGGCAGGGCGGGGCAGGGCGGGGCGGGGCAGGGCGGGGCAGGGTGGGGCAGGGCAGGGCAGGGCAGGTGCCACCTCTGCCGCGGGTCCCCGCTGCCCTTCCTGAGGTGCCCGCGGTGCCCGGGGCTGTGCTGGGTGACCGCCACTCCTGGAGCCGGGTAGCGGTGCCGGGCTCCGGCTCGTCCCCAGCAGACCTTTGCTCTCCCTGCGGGTGCCGCTCCCTGTTACCGTGCCAAAGGTCCCTGCAGGCCCGCGGGTGATCCCGGGAGGAGGGAAACACATTTCCTATCCCTGTGTGTCGCTGCTGATTGCTGATCTGCCTTCCCTGAGGGGACACCTTATTGCTCCACACAGCTCCCTGAAAGGAGCTGTAGTCAGGTAAAGGTTGGCCTCTTTTCCCCAATAACGGGACAAGAGGGAGCGGCCTCAGCTTGTGCCAGGGGATGCGTCAGATAGTAGGAAAAAACATTTCACTGAAAGGGTTGTAAAGCCCTGGCACGGGCTGCCCATGGCCATTGTGGAGTCACCAACCCTGTCAGTGTTCAAAAAGCGTGTGGATGTGGCACCTGGGGACATAGGTTAGTGGTGAGTGGTGCTGCTGGGTTGATATTTAACTTGATGATGTTAAAGATATTTTCCAACCTTAATGGTTCTGTGATTCCTGTTCCTGCCTTTGGCAGGGCTGGTGGTGCCCTTGGTGTCAGCATGGCAGAGGCACAGCCCCTGTCCCCAAGGGCTCCCCTGCTCCAAACTCCGCCTGTGCTGAGCTGGGGTGCCCAGCAAGGGGCAGAAGTGGCCGAGGGCAGCTGAGCACAGCCTCTCCATGGGACACAGCTCTGCTGGCATCAGGGAGGGACATGAGGGTGATGGACAGGGGATGGAGCGGGGCAGGAGGGCAGGCAGGATGCGTGTGTGTGAGTGTGAGTGTGTGTGTGATTGTGTGTGTTTGTGTGTGTGTCTGTGTGTGTGTGTGTGTGTGTCTGTGTGTGTGTGTGTGTGTGTGTGTGTGTGTGTGAGTGTGAGTGTGTGTGTGATTGTGTGTGTTTGTGTGTGTGTCTGTGTGTGTGTGTGTGTGTGTGTGTGTGTGTCTGTGTGTGTGTGTGTGTGTGTGTGTGTGTGTGTGTCTGTGTGTCTGTGAGTGTGTGTGTGTGTGATCTCTCAGGTGGCCTCTCCTGCTTCACACACACTCACACACACACACACACACACACTCACACACTCACTCACACACACACTCACACACTCACTCACACACACACTCACACACACACACACACACACACTCACACACACGAGCACACTCAGACACACACTCACACACACACTCACACAGAGGCAGCCTGACAGGTCACTGCCCCCGAGCAGTGCCGGGGCACCCCGGCTGTGCACAGGGCCAAGCCCACCCGCCTGGCCCACAGAAGGTTTTTGGCAGAGCTCTGTGACACTGCAGCACTCCTGTCCCTGGGGCAGGTGACCAGGCCAGCGCTGTGTGTTGGGGACAGGAGGGACAGCTCGGGACAGCCACAGCCCGGCCCTGGAGGGAGCACGCTGAGCCTGCCAGGAGCCAGCTCTGCCCTGGCTGCCAGCACCCCGGGGCTGCACCCCAGCATGGGCAGCCGTGCCAGGGCACAGCTGGAATCGCACACAGCTGGATCCTGATCAGCCCAGGGCACATGGCCCTCGTTCCACCGGGGCCAATGGCTTTGATCAAACCCCAGCACGGCCCTGTCCCAAACTGGCCCCACTGCCTGTGCTTGCCCCTAGCCTGGCAAAGCCCTGCCATGGGGTGTCCCCCCTGCCTGAGGACCCCTGGGCACACACAGCCCGTGTGTGCCGCCTCGGGAAGCCGGTGGCAGGGCTGGGTCAGGGTCCCGGGTGGGGGTAAGCGCCCGGAGGCACTGCACTGCTGGAGCTGCTTCCCTGCTGGCAGTGTCAGGAGCTGAGCCCTTCTGCATAGCCCAGGGGCCCTGTGGGGATCTGCATTTCCAAACCGCCCAATTCCTTCTCTGGGGAGTGCTGGGTACACGACCTGAGGCTGAGGTCTCCGCTGCTGAGGAGGCAGCACGGCAGCGCCCCTGCCTCCCTGCCTGCTCTGCAATGCTGCCGGTGTCCCGTCCTGCCCTGCCTCGGGATGGCCTTTTGTCCTCCAGGATGCTGCACCCAGATCTGTCTCCCTACCACGCTCCTCCCTTCAGTCCACAGCACCCTCCCTGCCAAGGCTGGGACATCGCTGCTGGACCCCAGGAGCTGTGGGGACAGTCTGGCACTCCCCTGCTGTTGTACCTCCCCTGGGTCAGGCACCTTGCAGGTGTCCCTGTGGGGTGCTGGGGTGTCCCTAGCCCGATGCTGAGCATGGGTGACTCAGCCCCAGAGCCTGCAGCCCCACAGGGAAGGGCAGGGCAGGTCACGGACACAGCCCCCCCAGGCTCCAGGTGGGAGCACACCCCACGCGTGGGCACTGCCAGCCCACAGCCAGGGCATGGGCCAGGCCACAGCCCCGGTGTCCCTGCACCAGTCCCAGCCCTGCCACCCCACTGTGCCCCCTGCTCCTGTCACAGCTGTCCCCACAGCCCAGACCACCTGGGGATGCTGCAGTGCAAGGGGGTCTCTGCTGGCTGATGTCTGCCTGGATGTTCTTGGCTCTCAAGGGTGGCCCAGGATGTGGAAGACTCTGTTGCTGCTGCCCAGGTCCAGACGACATTCAAGCCCCCTGCCCAGGGTGGAGCCCAGAGCTCCTTGGCCTCCCAGGGACGGTTCCTTCTGCAGTGAGGCACAGGCTGATGGTTGCTGACCATTCCTGGGCTTAGATTTCAGAGGTCTTTGTTACCCAGGTGCTTGTAACCCAATCTCTGGGGCTTGGCTTCCCTGCAGCAGATCCAATAGCACCCGTGCCTGAAAGGTGAGCCTCTGCCCACTACCACGGCCAGCGGCAGCCACAGGGACCTGGCTGGCAGCTCAGCCCCCCGATGCTCCCCACAGGACTACCGCAGCCCCCGGGACAGCACAGCCCTTCTGCCACCACCCCCGAGGCCCTGGGAAGCATCTCAGGACAGGTAGGGAGGGATGGGGTAACTGGGAGGAGGGGAGAGAAGGCACCAAAACACTTGAGGTCGCCTAAGGAGAAGGAACAGAGTCTTGGTGACCTCCAGAAGAAATTTGCAAATATCCTGGTGTGTACCAGGCCCCACCTGAGATAAGGCTGGATCTCCTCAGACCCTCCCCAGGAGCCTTTGTGTCACCCTCTGCTGCCAACAGCTGTACCAGGATAGCCCAGGGCTTGGCAGGAGTGAGGCGGTGCCACTGCCTGGTCTCCAAGTGCTGCTCCCCAGCCCACCCAGCCACTTCGCTCCTGCTCACCCCCTGCTCCCCCCAGTCCCAGGCTGCACCCTGAGCAGGATGTTGAGATTTGGCCAAGCCGTGTTCCCTGCAGAGTTCACGGCCTGGCACTGGGACAAACACAGCCCCCATGGATACAGGGACAACCAGTGCTGGCTGGCCACAGGGCAGGCAGGTGAAATGAACAGGGTCTATGCCTTTATTGATAGTCAGCTCTTTCTTAAAAGTCAACTCCGCAGGGGTACCAGGACACGTCGGCAGCTGGAGGCAAAGAGGTGTGCAATCCGCATTCGGAGCCCCAGCAGACTGTCCTCCCCTCTCTCCCTCCTGGCAGCGCCAGGCAGAAGTGCCCTTTTGCTCCTGCTTCCCACAGCCCAGTCCAGTCTGGTCCTCTGCAGGTTATGGTGACAGGTCAAACACAGACTAGGGATGGGGTTCCCTTTTCCCTATTGAGCACACCCATCCAGCCCCCTCCACAGTGCCCATCTTTTCCATTTAGGGGTGGTTTTCATCCCCAAAACCCCCTCCCATGATTCCAGTGGATTATTTTGCATCCAGGTCCTAGTGTAGGCGGGGTTGTAGGTGATTCCCAGGAGCAATTGATTAATTGACATTTCAATGCCGGTACTCAGCCCAAGCCGAAGTGTTCCAGCAAGGCTGTTTTGTTCATAACAGCAGGCAGCGGGCAGGGGTGTTGGGCAGGGATCCTGCAGCTCCCGCCCCGCACGGACCGCTCCCCATCTCCCCACGCGTGCGGGGCACTCGGAGTGACATCCCAGCCGTGCCCTAACAGCTCCTCTCACCCCTTCCCCAGCATGTGGCAGGCGGGTGGCAGCCCCGGGCGGAGGAGCCGGGGCCGCGCAGCCCGAGCCGGGGCAGCCAGCGCGTCGAGTGCATCATCTGCTACTCCCCCTACGACCTGAGCGTGCGGCTGCCGCGGCGGCTGTACTGCGGCCACACCTTCTGCCAGGCGTGCCTGCGGCGGCTGGACGCGGTCAGCCTCGAGCAGCGCTGGATCCCGTGCCCGCAGTGCCGCCAGAGCACGCCCACGCCCCGCGGCGGGGTCACCATGCTGGACCTGGACCTGGCCGCCTTCCTGACCCTCCGGGCTGGCCGCGAGCAGCCGCGGGCGGCGGGCAGGGCCCCGGCCGAGCCTCCCGCCGGGGCTGCCGGCAAGGAGGCGGCGGGGAGCGAGCAGCCGGCGGGGCCGTGCCCGGAGCCGCTGCCCCCGGAGCCGCTGCCCCCGGCGCTGCGGGCCCGGCGCGGCTGCTGCCCGCTGTGCCCGTGCTGCGGCGTGAGCGCCGCCCTGGACAGCTGAGCGCCGGGGCTGCTGCGGGACCCCCTGTGCCTCACACCGCGGGGGGACCGCAGGGACAGCCCAGGAACGGCTTCAGCCCGCGCGGGGCTTTCCTGTCCGTCCTGGCCGCTTTTGGGGATGAGGATGCTGCCACCCCCCATCCTGCCCCTGTGCTGCCGCTGGCTCAGAAACGCTGCAGCCATCTCAGACCTTCCCTGCCCCTCAGCACAGCCTGCCTCGTGCTCCGCTCCCCGTGCATGTGGCTCTGCAGCAAGGACAGTGGCACTGAGCGTTGCCTGGCAGGGGACAGGAGCCTGGCACAGTGATGCCATGGGGTGTGTCCTGAGAGCTCCAGGTCTATTAAAGACGCTTTGGTCCCGCTGGGCTGCACATCTGGTCATGTTTGTTGTCAATCCTGGCCCGGGGCAAGCCCTGCCTGTGGTGAGTAGGGGAGAAGTGACCTGCCCTGCTGGATTGCTGTGCTGGGTGTGTTTGCTCTGCTGGCCACCTGTGTGAAAAATTTTGGTATTCTGATAGTAGGATAGTTGAAATTGAAGATTACAGAGTTGTTAGGAGACCTCCAATGTTGTTCCATCTACGTTGCTCGAGTATGGGAGGAGAGCTGAGCTCAGGAAGCTCCTGCTTGGCCTCATGCTCTGTGGCTCATGCCAGGTTTAGCTCTTCCTGCCTGACCCTTTCCTCACATGCTGGCACACACAAACCCTGCTGCTATTTTTCCAGTTGTGCCCTGCTGTCTGCATGGCTTTCCCTGCCTGACTCCACACCAGGGTGAGAGGACAAGAGCCCAGGCAGCTGGTCTGGGTTAACAGGGGCCAAACTGGAAGTACTGGGCTGCACAGGGTGACACTGAAATACAGCTCTTGGCCTGGGCTTGGTGCTGCCTGGGCAGCTCTTACAGTTCTTTCTCAGGGCCCATTTTCTGCATCTGTTTTCCATGTGGCTTATGAGCTCTTGCAATACCTCAAAACCAGGAATCCCCTCAGGGCTCAGCAGAGGACCCCAGCCTGTGCCTCCCTGGGGCTGGCAGGGACCTTGTGTCTCCTGGGCTGTTCCCTGCGCTGGGGCCAGGGCTGCAGCCAGAGGATTCCATCAGCCCTGGACAGCACCCACCCCTGCACAGAGCTCATGCACAGTTCTGCCACTTGGTGTCACCTGCCATAAAACAGTCCCAGCTGATGTGTTCCCAGAAGAATAAACCTGGGGTGCCCCAGGGCAGACAGAGGTATGGCGTGGTTCAGAAATTACATGTGAGTTCTGCCTTGGACCTTTAATTACCTGGAACATGCAAGAAATTAAAGCCTTCAAGGAATGGATAAAAGCTATCATTGAGTCCTAATGCATCTTTCCCTCTATCTCCATTTCTCCCCTAAGACTCAACAGTGGGTGCTGGGAAGAATGTAGGAAGGGCCCATCCTTGCCTGCAGAGGTGCCAGCAGCTCTGTGCTGAGCCCAGAACCTTTGGGTCCCACAGCTGGGTGACCAAACCAATGGCTCTCTGTCCCACACCCCATGTCCCCTGCTTCCTTGCCTCCCCCCAGCACCAGAACTACTCTGGGGGGCTTGGCCCTTTGGCCCTTGCTTCCTTCCTCCGTGGATGTCCCCCTGCTCCCAGCCAGCCTCTGAAGGAGGGATCATCCCTTCCATCACTCTGGGAATGCTTTGGCACCTCGGGCAGAGCAGGGCCAGTGCCAAGCCCTGTGCCCTGGGGGCTCCTCCCCTGGCACAGGCACCTGAGCTGTCCTGGCAGAGCAGCTGCTCGGAGCAGCCGGTCCTGCCACATTCCTCATGGAGCCCAGAACCTCCAAAGGGGCATCGAGGAACGCTATCAGCACATTGGTGGGTGCTGCTCTGGCTGAGGACAGGGACCTGGGCTCCTCCTTGTGGGTTCTGGGTGCCCATATTCCAGGGAAGGGGCACTGCCAGGGACCCAAGCAGCATGTGGAAATGGGCAGAGGTGGCAGTGCCAGCAGTGGAAATGGGCAGGGGTGGCAGTGCCAGCAGTGGAAATGGGCAGGGGTGGCACTGGCAGCAGTGGAAATGGGCAGGGGTGGCAGTGCCAGCAGTGGAAATGGGCAGGGGTGGCACTGCTGGGGTACAGGACCCCAGGTGTCCCCAGCCTGACATGGCAGCGGGGTGCAGCCAGTGATGGAGAACAGCAGTGGGGCCAGGCACGAGCATGGGATGATGTCTGGCCATGTCCCTGGCAGGGACATCTCTCCTGCCACATGCCATCAGGGTGACAGCAGGGGGCTTCCAGAGGAGCTCAGTTTTTGGGCTTTTCAGCATCCTGGGCTCTTTGTGCACAAAAGCTGGAAATGACCTTGCTTTTACTATTGGTTTGAGTTATTTGTGGCATGAATGTTGCACTTCTCATCTGATTCCAAATGGATGCAGGGAGTGAGCAATGGGGGTTAGGGTTAGGGTTCTGAAGGAGAAACATTTTGGGAGAGGACTCCCTCAAAATCCAGGTCTCCGTATAGCCTGTGGCTGTGGATGGGATGAGCTGGGGCTGCAGCTTCACATGGCAGTGGGTTTGTGCCCTTGCCCTGGGGCTGGGCTGGGCTGGAGGATTCCTCTGAATTATTTCCAGATGGGGATTAATGCAGCAAAGCGAGTTTGCTGCAGGATAGATAAACAAACCAAAGCTCCTTGGGATGCTATTAATAAACCCTCTGCCTGCTGCTTCTGTCCCAGATTTGGGAACATCCTGGCCTTGGCCTGGGGGGCAACGGTGCCCTGTCTTGCTGCCCATCCAGCCCCTTGGCTGTGGGGCAGAGGGACAGGGATTCCTCTGGGACCACGGCCACTGGGGTCCTGATGGATGTGAGTGGGGACAGTGTCCCTGCTCTGGGCTCCCCTCTGGCTGTAAGTGGGATGAGGTGCTGCCAGCCGTGTCCCTTGGTGCCCCAGGCCCCATTGAGCTCTGCCAGGGGCAGTGACACTGGGAGGTGACACCTCTCCTCCCCAGCCTTCAGGGCTGTGGGTGGCTTTGGAGCAGAGAGGGTGTAAACAGGGTGGAGGCAGACTTTGAGCCCTATGGAACTGGCACTGCCATGCCAGGGGGAGGGCAAACCAGTTTGGGTGGCTGCAGCCCAGCAAGGTCACCTTGGCCATGCTGCTCACTGGGGGCTCCGGTGTCACCCTCCGTGCGCACACAGACATGTCCCCCTTGTGGGAAGGAGGAAGGCGGCCCATGGGATGTAATCCCAGCCCTCGTCGTTCTGGCATGGCTGGTGATCTCCTGCAGGGCACACAGGGCTTGGGCAGGGCTGGGCTCAGCAGGGTGGGCCATGGCTCCCAGCACAGCTCCCCACTGAGGCCCCCTGGGCATGGTGGGACAGCACGTGAGATGGGCTAAGGCCTGCGAATGGTATGATTTTGTCCCAGTTATGTATTTTCCCAGTAACTCAGCCACTTCTGGGGGTTCTGGGCCCATACACCCCTCTGTACCTGTTGAGGTAGCATGCCTGTGGGGGATGCCCCTGGGGAGGATGGAGGTTTAGAGATGGATCTGAGTTTGCTGATTTCCAGCTCTCCAGCCTGCAGCACACACAGGCAGTTAATCCCCAGCCAAGCAGAGCTGGCTGCTTACCTGGCTGGAGCGGTGCCTGGCAGAGGGAGGGACGTGGGCACGGTTCCACACCTTGCAGGCAAGAATCATTGCAAAAATATTTGCTGAAAAAAGTGCAGCTCCACCCTGAGGAAAACCGGGTCCGGGAGCAGAGCCCCATCCAGGTTTGCAGCCGGGTGAGCAGGGGAATGAACGCGAGCGGCCTCAGGGAGCCGAGCACCGCCCGGGCCTGTCAGGCAGCAGCGCCGGGCTCAGCCGAGGGCAGCGGGCAGGGCCGGGCGGCTGGGCACGGCCTGGGGCTGTAGGGCTGTGAGGGCAGCGGGCAGGGCCGGGCGGCTGGGCAAGGCCTGGGGCTGTAGGGCTGTGAGGGCAGCGGGCAGGGCCTGGGGCTGTAGGGCTGTGAGGGCTGTGAGGGCAGCGGGCAGGGCCTGGGGCTGTAGGGCTGTGAGGGCAGCGGGCACGGCCTGGGGCTGTAGGGCTGTGAGGGCATCCCGGCAGAGCAGGGCAGGCAGCGCTCTGTGCCCATGGGCTGCTGGAGGGTGCCTGGGCCCGTGCTGGGCCTGCTGCTGCTGCTGTGCCCGCCGCGCTCGCCCGCCTGCCCGCCCGCCTGCCGCTGCTCCCCGGCCGAGGCCGACTGCGGCGAGCGGGGCCTCCGCCAGGTGCCCTGGGGCCTCTGGGCCAACACCAGCGCCCTGTGGCTGGGCTACAACTTCATCACCGTGCTGGGACCTCGCTCCTTCCCTCCGCTGCCGGGGCTGCGGCTGCTCAGCCTGGTGCACAACCGCCTGGAGCTGATCCACGGCCAGGCGCTGCTGGGGCTCGGGGCGCTGCGGGAGCTGGACCTCAGCCACAACCACCTCAGCGTGCTCACCCCCGACACCTTCGTGCCCCTCACCAGCCTGGCCACGCTCAACCTGGGCAGCAACAGGCTGAGGGAGCTGGAGCCCGGGGTGCCGGCGGCCTTGCCCCAGCTCCGGGCGCTTTTCCTGCAGGACAACCCCTGGGTGTGCAGCTGCAGCATCCTGCCCCTCTGGCGCTGGCTCAGCCACAACAGAGAAAAAGTGCGAGGTGAGTGCCCAGAGGGCTGTGCCCCGAGCCCCCCGCCCACTCCATGCCGGTCACCCTGCCAGGGCTGAGGCAGGACCCAGCACCCTGGCTGCCAGCTGGCTGGGGGCTGGGGTGGTGAGTGCCCTTGGGGTGAGGTTCCCCAGAACCCATCCTTAGGTCATGCCAGCTCCTGTGTCTGCTTGGGTGGATACACCCCTGGGGCTCAGTTGGTGCCCAGATTTTGGTTCTGGTCGTCAGCAGGGATTGCCTGGAAAGGAGAGCTGTGCAGTGTCCCAGTGACAGGCACCCGGTGCTGGCCCCAGCAGTGACACCAGTCCTGCCACATGGCACCTCAGGGGGCAAGTGGAGTCTGTGTGTCAGGGTGCACATCACCGCTGGCCTGTCCAGGATGCAGTGCTTTCAGCCCCTTCCCCAAAGCCTTCACCAACCTGGTTCTGATCCTGCATTTCTTCCCCCATGAACCCCAGTGAAAAACAGCTCTGCCAGCAAAGTCTCTCCCACCACTGCTGCCCCCTCCTGCTTGCTTCCAGCTCGGATGTGTGACTGCACTTATTCTGGCTGGGACCTTCTGTGGCATCTCCAGGCTGGCTGCTCGCTGTTCCCCACATCTGTCTTCTGGGAGCCAGTCCTTCCCCTTTGCCTGCCCCATCTGCCATCCTGCCCCACACCCATCTTCCTATACCCCCTCCAGCACTGTGCCCACATCCCATCCCATCCCATCCCATCCCATCCCATCCCATCCCATCCCATCCCATCCCATCCCATCCCATCCCATCCCACCCCACCCCACACAGGTGAGTCCTGAACCTCACTGTTCCCCTTATTCATAGCCTCGCTAGGTGATGTTGATGACACTGGCCCCTGTCCTCCTGCCCTGGTGCCATCTGTCCCATGCAGACCTGCCATCCCCCTGTCCTTGGCCCCTGCCTTTCCCAGCTGCCCAGTGAGCCCTCCAGCACTGCTTCTCTCTTCCAGAGAAGAGTTTGCTCCTCTGCAGAGTTCCAGAGCAGCTGAACAAGTATCCGATCATGGCCTTTGGGGACGAGTCCTTCAGGCAGTGCCAGGAGACCTCACTGTCCCCCCAGCACTACATCACCTTCTTCATCATCGGACCCTTCTCCTTCATTGCCAGCATCTTCTTCTGCACCTTCCTGGGCTCCCTGGTGGTGTTCTACCACAGCCTGCGCCGCGAGTCCCACTGCTGGAGGAGGCCCCGTATCTGCAGGGTGCACTGAGGGGCTTAGCCAGGCTCTGCCCTGGCAGCCCGGGCTCCACCCGTGCCCCTCCCCAGCTGTTACAATCGTTCCTGTGGGGCAGTGAGAGGCAGTTCTGTTCCTGGCATCGCTTTGTGTTCTCTCAGAGGCCCTCGAGATGGTGCCAAGCTGCCTCTGCCAGGGGGGAGCAGCCTCCAGCTCAGCTCCCTGCAGGGTACAGGCGGACCAAAAATGCTCTCAGTGTTTTGGGAGGCTCCCCAAGGCCACCCTCAGATCTGCATATCCTCTTCCTGGGGACAGCCAGGTGATCCTTCTCCCCTTGTCCTTCCCCCTGGGCTGCCCAGTCCCTCAGTGTGCATTTAGGATGCTCCATATGCCTCACTGTGCCTTTAGGTGCAGCCTGGGAGTCCCTGTGTGCATCCCAGGACACACCACATTCCTCTTGGTGCCTTTCAGGTCACCCCAGGACTCACCATTTGCCTTTTGGTGCGGCCCAGAAGCCTCTGTGTGCCTTTCAGTTTGCTCCTTGGGCCTCCTGGTACCCCCTGCACCCTCTGACTGCCTTCAGTGACCCCAGCAGCCTCAGTGCTTTTTTCTGTGCCCTCAGAAGTCCTTGAGTTGGCATTTCCTGTTTGGCTTCTGTGTCCTGGCAGGCACTGTTTTCCTTTTAGTGTACCTCAGAGCTCTCTGTGTGCCTTTTGGTGCACCTGAGGATCTCTGGGTGGTTTGGAGCATTCCAAAACCTCTGTGGGCTGTCAGACCATCCCAGGCCTGTCAGTGTGCTGCCCAAGGACAGGGCTGGTTGCAAAAAGCTCCTTTTGATAGTTTTTTTCCATTGAGTCGGGAATGCTGGTGCTGAGAAGGCTCAGCCAACAACCAAGGTCTAGGGTGAGGCTGAAGTTTAGGTGAGGGCCAGGAAGAGCCTCGAGCTGCCACTGATGTGGTTCGGCAGGGCAGCTGCCAAAGGATGGGTGAGGCTACAGTGGTTTCTCCCTCAATAGCTTTTCCCTAGGCTGTAGCTCATCCCCAGCCAAGGTATAGGGTTAGCTCAGGGTTGGGAGTGGGGGCAAACAAGGCCTTTAGAGGGGCTCTTTACAGCAGCCCTGGCTGCTGCCCCACCTCCCATCACCCACAAATCGGGGCTGGGGCTGGCCCTGCACCTCCCTGCCCCGCTCCCTTCTTCCCTTTCCTGTGGAAAGGCTGCTGGAAATGCTTAGTGAGCCTACTGGGGGAAGGCCTGGAAGGATCTGGAGCTGTGCTCCAGGAGAAAGCCACAAGCTGGGGTGACAAAAACACTTTTCAAGGAGGAACAAGAGCCCTTTTTGGCCTGACCTCTTACCCACTGCAAGATGATCAGAGCCACAATGAGATGTTGTGACTACCAGCCTTGTCCACTCCATCTCCTGCCCATGCAAGAGCTGGGACCTGCCAGGGCTGTCAGTAAATCTCACATAAATAAACCAAGTGTCACCTCAGCGGTGGCTTGCTCCCATTTTTATTTTTAAGAGAGAAGCCAGCCCCATGTGTGTGTGCTGCCACATGGCCCAATTCCAACTTCCTCCTCTGGTGTGGGGCAGGGTGTTTGCAGGGAGCGTCTGGAGGCAGCATCTGCCCCAGTGCTGCCAGCCCTGCTCCTAGGAGGGCTGCAGGACTCTGCCAGGATCGTCTCTTGCCTGTCCCAAGAGCAATCCCAGCTCTCCCAGGCCCTCTCTAGACAGGGTTCAGTTATTCCCAAGAAGGCCTGGGCTTCCCATTTGGAGTTTGGTCCTTGTTTGTCATCCTGCACGGCCACCTGAACCCTGCTCCTTCCCTCAGACCATCCTGAGGCTCAGCGCCCATGGAGGCTGGGCTGGAGGTCTCAGCACATGGGGAAGATGCTGTGGATGGGTGATGTTCCTTCTGTTCAGCCTTGGGGGACCTTCCTATTTTGGAAATCACTTGATGGACCTCCCCATGGATGGGCTGATGTGTGGGGGCTTCGCCAATGCCCTCATCCCTGCATCCCATCCCCTATTCCCAAAGGCTGGTTCCACTGGCCAGGCCCCATGCTGGCTCCCAGGAGAGGGGGAGCCCGGCGGTGGCAGGGGGCAGTTTTCCCTGGGATGGAGGTGGGACAGAGCCAGCTGCCATGGTGCTGGTGTTTGGACAGCTCCATGCTGTCCCGATCCCCTCACTGCAAGGCCTGTGACCACCCTGGCTGTGCAGGCTCTGTCACCTGAGTATCCCAGAATGGGGATGTCCTTTTCCTCTCAGGCTCCCCTATAGCCCCTGCCCTTTCTCCCTCCTGGTTCCTCCATCCCTTCCTGTCCCTCCACTGTTTGCAGACCCTGCCACAGGACTGGGCGAGGCTCTGATTCACCACAGGGCTCCCTGCCAGCTTTGCCAGAAGTCAGAGACACAAAGAGGCACACAGCTCTGGAATAAACCACTTCATGATCCAGTCTAGACTTTACTGAGCTCTTGCAAAAACTTGGTATTCATGTAACATCGACGTATAAAGTAGAATGGGTCCGATTTCTCAGCTGGAGCTAGATGAACTGGATGGAGCCACAGCAGTCAGTGGGACGATGCTCACAGACCTCAGCTGCCATGTGAAAATGCTGCCCGGGGGGCAGCCCGGGCCCGGGGAGGCAGTCCGTGCCCCTGGGGTGGGTACCGGGCTGCGGGCGGCTGCTCCGGGCTGGCAGGAGACGCTGCCCGTGCCCTGCGCTAGCTGCTCCTCCCCGGGGCCGCCGCCTCCGTGCCCGCTGCCCACGGGGAGGCTGCTCGGGAGCCGTGTGGGCTCGAGGGGAGGACGGGGCAGGAGGGACGGCTCAGCCTGGCTCGTTCGGTTCCCTTCTCCCGAACTGGGATCTGCTTTCCACGTCTCCGGGCCCAGGCGGATGGAGCGCCGAGAGCTGCTGGCAAGCTTGGGCTGCAGGTGAGGGCGGCAGGGGAGCTGCCAGTGCTGGCCGTGGTGCCCCGACAGTGCAGAACTGCAGGTGAGGGTGGCAGGGGAGCTGCCAGTGCTGGCCGTGGTGCCCCGACAGTGCAGACAGGCTGGGTGGCTGCTGCAGCACTGCAGCGAGCCGTGACCAGCCAGCAGCATCTCTCCTTGCATTGCTGGTGCTGAGGCAGTGTGGAGCTGGGGTAGAGGTCAGTGCAACCGTCCAGAGCCATTTCCCGTGGAGAATTGCTGGCCAGGAGAGCTGCTGTGTGAGTGCTACATGCTGGCCGTGGCCAGGTCCTGGGGATGTGTTCTGTGCAGGAGAGCTGGGAGCCGGGGTCTCGGCTGGCGGCACTCCTCGGGCTCCGGAGCACCGCGATTCGCTCAGGGCACAGGGCTGGGGGCGGGAACTCTCCTGCTGCAGCCGGACCACGGACGGAACCGAGTCACAGCCACGGACCGATGGAGGGAAGGGAAGAGGGTCCATCCCCTGCAAGGAGCAGAGCACACATCTTCCAGCCCCTGCGGCAGACGTGAGGGTCACTTGGCACGGCAGGAACGTGTGCCAAGCCTGCCGCACCAGGAGCTGGCTGCTCCGGCTGCTCGGGACCGTGGGCACATTGCTGGAGCCCTCCAGGTGGTGGGAGACATGGAGCACACGTCTGAGGGGCTGTGTGTGCTCAGAAGGCTGCAGCCTGTGAGGTTAAGCACGTGTGTGTGGTCTGGTACCAGCTCTTCCCTGCTACCATGGGAGAGCAGGCACCGTGTGCCTTCTGCAGTCCTTCCCCCTTGCACGGAGCCAGTCAGTGGCAATTCTGATTATTGTGGCACTGTTTGGAAGCAATTATCTCTGTACAGTGAAGTCCGAGCCTTGTCCTGGTTCTGCCGTGCTTCCTGGGGCACGAGCATGGCAGCAGGCCTAGGAAGGGAGGGGGATATACAATGGAGTCACTGTGTATGGATGAAGGATGCTTTCCTCCCATCTCACCCAGAAGAACCCATCAGTGTCCCTTGAAAGGCAGTCCTGGCTGTGCCTTCCTACTGTGTTGGGCAAGGACTGATGGCCCTCGGGGAGAAGGTCACACCACAGTGCTGACTGAGGGGTCGGAGAGGTTGAGCTGGCCAGTGATGTCGGTGGGGTGATACTGCTGCAACACACAAATAGACAGACAAAGAGAAAAGAGTGTTAGGCAGTTCTGGCACTTGTCCTCGCTGCCACTTCTATGCCATGTGTCCCTACAGGATATCTCTTGGGGGTGAAGCAACGCCCTGAAAGCTGCTGCTGGCTGAGGTCCCCTTCCCAGTGCCCTCCACGCTTGTGCAGAGGTCATTGCAGACACTCTCCAAGCAGCCTGGAGCGGGGCAGAGGGGACACCCAGGAGCGCAGTGCAGCTTCTGCAGAGCGTGGCTGCCACGTCACCCGCTGAGCCAGGCCCTCTCTGCTCTGGGAGGGCTACAAAACAAAGCCTGTGACTCATCAGCCCAGCCCACGCCTGAACCTGTGTTTGGAGGGTCTGGCTGGGCTTTGGCACCTCTCTGGTGCCAGATCAAGCTGTGCTTTGAGGCCAGGGCGTTTCACCTCCTTGCTTGAATGACCCTGCCGTGACTATCCCTTCATGCAGGTGAGATGTGTGGTGTGGCTGGTTTGTGATAAAGTGCGGCGTTGATTGCTAATGTGAAAATACAGCCTGTGCTGGGGATGTGGTCTGGATTTGGGGTTCTGAGCTCCTTGCAGATGCAGGGGCTTGGCATGGGAGAGACCATGGGAGAGCCCTCCCCTGCTGCAGTCCCATCAGCAAGTAGGGGGCAGAGCAGAAATACCCATCAATGGGCAAGAAAAAAATGTCCTTCCTCCCCAGACAGGAATTTACAGCGGGGCAGTTATTTCCTCCCTTCCTCCTTCCAAATTCCCTTCCTCTCCCATCTCCACTGCGCAACTCCAAACCCCGACCTGGAAGCTCTGTCCAACTCTGCTGTGGCCTGGAGAATCCTGTGCTGCTCTCTGGGGTCCTAATTCGGTTCCAGGGCAGGAAAGGGTCTCTGTGGGGTCTCTCATGTACTGCAGCACCAGTGACCCTCTCCAGTGACATTTTCCCAGCCCTTGCACCACTCTGCCCAGGAGGGCTGATGTTTTGAGGGGCTCTGCAGGGGCTCCTCAGTGATGGATTCCATCTGCTCTGCTTTGGTCGATGGCCAAGTGGCCTTGGTGGCACTGCTGGCAGCTCTGGCACTGTGGCTACCCTGTGTGCTGCACACCCTGCCTGCTGCCACCCCCCGAGCCTTGCATGGGGTCCCTGGGGCTGCCCTGCCCAGCCCGGATTTGTGCTTCCCGGGACCCCTTGGTGGGAGCTGGGCCGAGACCCAGCGTGCTTCCATTTCTGCAGTACCATGCTGGGACGTGCTGACACCCAGGGAGCCTCTCAGGGATCACCTGCCACCTCTCAGGGGTCACCTGCCACCTCTCAGGGGTCACCTGCCACCTCTCAGGGATCACCTGCCACCTCTCAGGGGTCACCTGCCACCTCTCAGGGATCACCTGCCACCTCTCAGGGATCACCTGCCGCCTCTCAGGGGTCACCTGCCACCTCTCAGGGGTCACCTGCCACCTCTCAGGGATCACCTGCCACCTCTCAGGGGTCACCTGCCACCTCTCAGGGATCACCTGCCACCTCTCAGGGATCACCTGCCACCTCTCAGGGGTCACCTGCCACCTCTCAGGGATCACCTGCCACCTCTCAGGGATCACCTGCCACCTCTCAGGGGTCACCTGCCACCTCTCAGGGGTCACCCTGCCACCTCTCAGGGATCACCTGCCACCTCTCAGGGATCACCCTGCCCCTTAGGGCACTGGCTAAGATTCCAATGGAGCCTCTGGCAATTCCTGGCCATGGCCTTGCCTTGCTAAGGGGCAGCAGCTTGGCCATCGCCCATACAGAGAGTGGCTGAGGCCATCCTGATGTTACTCTGCTGCCCTGGGGAGAGTTTCTCGTGGCTATTTAGCAGCCCACCAAAAAAACACCCTTCTCTCCCAAAATCGGGTGCAGCCATCCCATCCTCGTGAAAAATTTGGATTCCAGCTAAATGCAGTGTTTCCATGGCAGAGCTGCCGGGAGGCGTGTGCCAGTGGGATGGGGCTTGACTCCAGCAGGGAGGAGAGGTGACTGGGAAAGGGAAGAGGGTGTGACTCACTGGTGGAGGAGAAGGAGGAACTGGAGATACAAAAATGAATGGGTAGAAGAAAGGTCCTTTGTTAAACATCCTGCCTGATGTAAGGGGGATGGAAGAAGCGGAGTGTGCCTGTGTGAGTGCGTGTGCCTCAGTGCACGTGTGCATGTGGCTGCTGTGGTGGTGTAGCAGGGCAGGCTGGGGCCTTCTGGCCTCTCTGCACAGCTCTGTGGGTGGGAAATACTAAAACAACCAAGCGAAATGGGCAATCTGGCCAGAAAAATTAAAATACAAGAGCATGGCTTTTGATTTGAAAGCATATCTCCTCCAATCACAGAGTTATCACAGGGTAACATTCTCATTTACTTTTTTTTTTGTGTAAAGTTCATGCATGCAATTTTTAATAATAAAAATTAAAATGAAAAGAAAAAAGAAAAGAAAAAAAAGCAAGAAAACGGTCATATCAAAACTATGTTAAGGTAGAACTAATGCTAGAAGCACATATCAGTAATTTAAGGTAAATTATGTTACAGGGATGGTGCAATAATCCCCAAACCAAACATTATAAAGCCAAGAAATTAATCAATATTAACCGTAGAAGAGACTCAAACATGTTAAGGTATGGAAGTGAAGTGAAGGCACCAAAAACTTTAAATGACAACCAGGAAGAAAATATAGACAAGAACTTAATGTCTTTAAAAATGACTTCAACCTAACTGGGCTCATATGGTAGTCCCTGGCTGGTGGAAGATTTTCTGGAAGAATTTTGGTTTGTTGTGGTGGGTTTTTTTCCATTAAAAATTAGGATTCCAGCTAAATGCGATCTTGCTGTAGAAAATATCAACTTCCCTTTAGGAAAAAAAGAAAAAAAAAAAAAAAGTTGTCTTTGACCTACTTTTGGTTCTTTTGGGCCAAAAACTAGGCTCTTTCTCAGCCAAGAAGCGTTTGGCTTTGGGACAGCTGATCCTTCACTGAAAAGGTGACCTTTTCCAGGAAGCCCCTGGGTTGTCAGCCAGCCCTGGCACCATCCCCAGGCCGCAGGGGGAGCGTGGCCAGCCGGCCCTGGCGGGGTGGTGCCGTGGGGTGCCATGGGGCTGGGGCTGGCAGGGCGGCTCTGCGGGGCTGGCGGTGCGGGGGCTAAGGGGCCTGTGCACCTCACACGTGTCTGTACGCAATGTGCCGGCTCGGAGGTGTCTGTGTGGTTTATGCGTCTCACATGGCGTCTGTGGGGTTGCAGTATCGTGGGTGGCTGCGATGGATGGACACGTCAGCTCTGCCAGTGCTACTCGAGTTGCAGGAGCTGCCTATGGGGAACACATGCATCTCCTCCTGGGGCGGTGGGGATGATGTGCCGCGGAGAGGCTGTGCAGCTCGGGTGATGGTGGGCGCTAGGACGTTCAGAGTGGGGTGGAAGCTTCCCAGGGCTGTCTTGGCTCCATGGTGCCAGCCTGTCTCTCTGGCACTCCTGAGGGACCATTCTGCAGGGCTGCAGAGCAGAATCCATTTTTAAAACTCCCGACAACGGAAAGGAAAGAAGCGAGGCCGCCAGGTCTGCGTCTTTCGCTCGCTGGCCAGGAGAGCCCGCGGGGCTGGGGTCAGCCTGGCCTTCCAGCCCCAAGGGCTCTCCAGCCTTGCCCATCTAAGACCTGGTGTGGGCCCGCAGCTCTGCTGAGCGTGATGAAAGAGAGCACCTCGCTGCTTTCTCGTCTTTACAAGGACCCCAGGCAACGTGCCCCAGCATGCTATGGACTCATGGGGCCTTCCAGCAGGAGGGCGTCGGGGTCTCTGAGCCAGGGCTGCTGCATGGAAGAGGAGGTCACCAGGCACAGGCTGTGACATGAGCTGGTGGCAGCACCCCGCTCCCGCTGGCTGCTCACCCTGCAGAGCAACCAGCAGGTCTGCCCAACATCACCACAAAGCTCGCTCCACCATGGACCTCCTGCCATAGCCGCTAGCCTCCAAGTTGGCCATGTTGGCTTGGATGTTCACCCCATTGGCCTGTTCTTGCCCCAGCTAGCCCAGTTCCCTGGGGAACGTGTCCTGGGACCCTGGCCATGGCACCCTGAGGCAGGCAGAGCACTGTGGCAGGCTTCAGAGCAGTGGGGAATAATCGACCATGCAGCTGCCCCCAAAGAGGGGACCACCTTCTGGGAGGAGTGGGGTCATCTCCCTCCACAAACTTGCCCATGAACAACGTACCAGGAAGAGCATGACCAGGACCCAAACAATGGGGAGCCCTGTGTTGTGCTGGACCCCAGGGACTGGAAAACAACAGCTCCATTGCCCATCCATGGGACCTGTGGTGCAGGTGGGCCCTGAGCCTGGTCAGCTCAGGGCATTGAGGTGCCCCTGACATGGGGCAGAGAGGGCTGTGGGCTGTGGGGGTTGGCGTAAGATGGATGCCACACCACGGAGCAGGATCAGGACCTGAATGATTCCCTGAGGAAGGAGCAATCTGGGAGTTACCGGGGAGCCACACACCAGCTGCCCCATTTTTCCTGGGTTCTTCCCCTCTCCTCTG